GGCGTGGGTCAGAAAAATCGGCGTGGGTCAGAAAAATCGGCGTGGGTTACCTCTCGACCCACACCGATCTTCTACGCAGATTGTGATTCGACCCACACCGATTTTGATTACCACTTACGCAGACAAAAATCGGCGTGGTTTACCCCTCGACCCACACCGACTTTGATTAGCGAAGGGTACCCCACACCGATTCTTCAGTTTTTGCAAAAGTTGAAAATCGGCGTACCCCCCCCTTCGTCAATTGTTTTCGGCGTGGTTGAGCACTCGAACCACACCGATTTCTGTCTGCGTAAGTGGTAATCAAAATCGGCGTGGGTCGAATCCAATTCTTCGTAAGCGCAGGCTTTCAATGTTTCCCAATTCTCAATCACAATTGTGAAACCTGCGGTCTGTTTCGAAATCAAACCAGGCTGCAGTGGCCAGAGCCAGCAGCTGACCTAGGACATGGACAGGCTAGTTAACTAGGTTCTTCCAATTGAACACTCAGAACTGAACAAAGGACTGAAGCTTAAACCTTTTCAATTTGCAAGAGCTCTTAGTGTCCACGCTTCCATACCACTCTTAGAGGGACGGAAGGGCACATAACTGCGACAACGCAATCATGAGGGGCACAGTATGCCACAGGCGCAACTTCAAGGGGAGCTGGCCTTTCGTGCCAAGAAAGTCGAACCAAAGGCTCACGAGGCAAAGAATTTGTAGCCAGCTGGCGCAGGTATGTGCTTGCTCGCCGTGTGGTTTCCGAGCCACCCAGCAGGTTCTGAAATACGCTGGCCAATTTCATCCATTGTTTTTTGTATTCTCTGGGGTATCACGCCAAGGCATCACTCCTTGTATGCATTTATGTCGTATGTGAAACCCATATAGAAAAACATTCATCCAGTCTCCAACCTTCAAATTCTTTTGTATATAGTGTGAAAGTAGCAAAAGTTCAAGTAAATAGGCTTAAGCATCTCTCTGTAAGCAAAGGAAAGCCAGCAGCATCCTCCCCCCTCAAGCACAGGAGAGGCTTTTGCCTCATCTCAGTAGAGCTGATGTACTCTTTCACCAACACAAACACATCATCCTCCCTTTTGGCCCGCCGTTTGTGCTTGCCCTCATCAATCTCCACATTCGGGAGGTCTGGACAAGGTTGTCAACATCTGAAAAATAAGTTGAGGTTGAACATTTTTTTGAGGGGACTCAGCTTTGAACATCATCTGTGCCCAAAGGGTGCGCCTTTGCGCCGGCAAAACATGAACAGGTGATTCGCTGTTCTGTCCAGCAGAAGGCCATCTTCCTGAGTGTGTTTGATTCAATAGGCCAAATTAAATTTGGTCAGCTTAAATGACAGCAGCTATATTTATTGTTCTTCGAGCGGAAATGAAGA